CGCCTTCCGTTTGTCTGGGTGTGCGGCGTGTCCAGACGTGCAACAGCCAACGATAAAAAGCAAAAGCAGCTTCCGCACCTTCCCCTGGAGGCTCACAAGGTACAGGATCCGCAAAGCCATCCGCTGATTTGAGGAAGGACCGACCAAGGCCTTTCCAAGACCAATTAGTACTGACATTGCACGCTTTGTGTGTTTGTGTTTCGTGCTCACTATGCATAGAGGTAAATGGGGGGCCCTCCTTCCTTGGTCGCATCGCATCTAAACAACGCAGGCGCACCATAAGCAAGACTTGCCCATGTGTAATATGCTGCTTAAACTGTTCATGTGGGTTGAACGGGGAAGGTCCATACTGCATAAGGCGCACCTGCCGCGCATGTGTTTGTTTATTCCAACCCTCTCGAGCCCATTTTGTATGCAATATCTGCTCAACATATTGGGCACAGAAGCCCCCACCTAAGAAAAGACGAAACATTGCAAGGACAAAAACCGGCATTGATAAACTGGGCTTCTCACGATCTGCAACCGCCGCACGGCAGAAACAGCACACCCCCTTTTCTGCTCACAGACTCGCAGGAAAACGGCAAGAGTGCCGCGCCTGTTCCATATGCCAGGTCCCAAACCCGGGATCCAGGCCGGATCTCAAAACTCACGACCCGAGATGTCTGGGAACGTCAATGGCCGACAAAAGAGAACGAATTTTCAGGGCCGCCCAGTTCATGACACACGAACAAGCACTTTGCCTAGTCCAACGCAGCGGCACGAAATGAAGAAAAGGGGAAGGCAGTCAGACCATTGAAAACGAATGCGTCAATGACGCCGATGCATACTTTCTCAGCAGGCCGTTGGTGTGGCAGCAGCTTCAAGAAGGTTACATTTCCTACACACTCTTTGTAGCCGAGACCAGGTAAGGGCAGAAACACAAGACAAGATGGACGGCAGCGTTGCGGCTTCGGGCTTAAGCCTCGCCGTCTTTTCCGCTCCTCGCCTTTCCGCTGCTCGCTCTTCCGCTGCTTACGGTTTCTAGTCTCAACTTTGTATCTTACAAGCGCATCGCAGTGGCTCGCCTTTCACTGACAACCTTTGCTAATATATTACTCGTATCTGTGTACGACATAGTCACCGCATCTTACACGTTAGCTTCAAGGTGTTGCTACGACTTGAGATACCACAACGGAACATTCATAGTGCAAGTTTAAAACTGTTGCACTACAAGGTACGCATCCTCCGGACTTTCGTGTTGCACTGCTGCACGCCCTTTTGGGGAATGATGGGCCACTGACAGGGGTGGCGGTGGACCTAGCTGCGACCAGGGGAAGAAATTCCCAAAGAAGGTGTCGGCGGCAAGAGAAGCATTGTGAAAGGTCAAAAGACTTAAGAACGTTGTGCGTGCATAACGGGCAAGCACAAAGCACAAAGAGGAAGGAATAAACCACGGAGCTAACGGTTTCCAGCAAGTCTCCGAACGCCAGAGTGTCATGCACAACTCCTCCGCCTCGCAAACTCGCGCTCCAACGTCTTGCCGTTTGTTCTCGCACCCTTGTCCACATTGGGATTTGATTTTGATATTCTGCTCTCATCCTTTCCTCTCTCGTCTTTCAATCCTTGCAAGCGGCAGACCTCGGAGACCTGGGCGGAGATGCAGAAGAATAAGAAAGCAGCCCTGATCCAACGAAAAGAGTTTCCAGAGTGTCAAGACAGGGCCATCCGCATCTCGCCCCATCGCCCATCTGGATAATGAGCCAGGGGTGGATGATTTGATGCCCACGGCCCCCATGTCCGCGCGGCGTGTTCCGTGCGCTACTTGCACAAGGTTGAGCCCGTCCGGACTACGGAGCAAACAAGGCCAACCAACAGCTGGTGTATGGAGCAGGTGAGCGCGCGAGCGACCAGTGATGAGAGCAATAAAAAACGGAGCAACTTTCGATTTGAAAGAATCGGGGAAACGGGGGAGCAGGGTCAAGATGGAGACATGACATGCGCTACTAAGCGCTCGCAGGCCCCTTTTCCGCTCGCCGTGTGGTGCCGACCACCCCATCTGCATCCCACGCTAAACTGCTTTGTTGCTGCTGGGTATCAGTGAGAAATTGGGATGAAAATATGAACACGGGCAGGCAGGGGCACGACGCAACGTTGGCGGGACCGAGTGAGAAAGAGAGACAGATAGATTCTGAACAAGCAGCACGCAAACCGGGAAGGGGGTGCGAAATTTTCAAAGCGCCGGACATGAAAAAGGAAAAGAGAAACAATCTGAAAGGACGTGCCAAAAAAAGGGGGGGAAGGTAAAAAAAAAAAAAAAAAATACCCACGCGCTGCGGGCTGATGGGGCCGGCCGCAGATTGGGCCGCACCGACTTTGTCACTTCCGATCGCATTCCGGTAATGCAGGCTCGCCTCAACGAGCTGTCTTTTATTTTCTTTCCGCACGTCGTAAGGCTCTGGTTGTGTCGAGTCAATAGTTTGCCTCGTTGTTTTTTGTGCCTTCCCGACATTTTTCTTTGCGATGCCAGAGACCGCCTTTTCGAGAAATGGAAAAGAGGAAAAGAAACCACTGGAATATTACAACTCTTTTATCCCTTCATAGACTAGTACGACCTGCTTTCGTAGAAGAGGATGGGCGCACAACATGTGGTGGCGTCAGGGACTATGAGGCCCAAAAAACATACAACGGTTGGTGTGTGAGACAATGTGGAAGGTTTGGGGCAGACAAGTGACCCTTACTCTGCCTTCTCACTGTCTCCTCCTCTTTCGTTTCTTGCCCGGTGCTTGTCCTTTGCAAGCCCATGCCCCTTGTCTTTGCCTCCTCGCCTTGCCAGCGGTTGCATATGCAAACTCGGATGTGCTCTCGGAGCAGGAGCAGCCCCTTGAAAAGACACACTGCCATCCGCGTGAGGTTTGACCTATGCCTATGCTCCATTTGGCTGTTCCATATTTGCGATTGCAACACACACGATACGCTTCCATTCTGCTGCAGCCTTGCCGCCTCCGACCTTTTTTTTCTTCCTTTTTTTAGAAAAACAAAACAAAACTCTGCTGCCGCCTCGCCACGTTGCACTGCCTTGTCAGGCCTCAACGGCTTTTTGTATGCTTTTTTGTATGCAGCCATCTCCCAGCGTCTACTCCGTACATACTTCTCGCCTCGCCCTTTTATATTTCGTTTCTCGTCTTTCTCGGGTATGCCCCTTTCCTCGTTTTACCCCTGGCACACTCTCCACACATCCTTTTGATTTCCTCCGGGAACGAGCCTTACTTTACTCTGTAAGAACGCTTTATGTGCGGAGTACGAGCCTTACCGTAGGAGTTGTACGACATACAGATGTACCTTTACAAAAGGGCTCTGGTTCCGACGCACGGGCTACTCTTTTTATTCATCGGCCGGCCCTGGCTTACGTTTGTCTTGCCCTTGCCTGAATATATCGTACGTCGTCCTCTCGCACCGACAGTGCCGTCAGCCTCCAAAATAAACAGGAAAGCGATGGTCTAGACGACGGGCCAAGGCGCGGAATGCCAAGCCATGAGACGTTGTGCTGCGAGCGCGCACGCGCGCGCGCCTGGCCAGGTGCGCGAGGTGCGGCTGTTTCCTATCTGAACGAAGATAGAGACGGGCCAGAACACAAAAAAGAAAAACGGCGCTCATCAGCAATGGGAAAGGAAACGCGAGCAGGGGTGCCAGCTGAACTCGAAATAGGAAACCTCCGGAAAAGGCGAGATTGGCCAGGGGGCGGCTTTTCGGTTTCCAACTGTCTTTTCGTTTTTTCTTACCCAAAGTCCGCCTCGTTTTGTCCCCCCCTGACAGATCTTTTTCCTAAAGAATCGGTTCGCATTCTCACATATGTGTATTTTTGTTTTGGTTTGTTTGTCTCAACAGAAGGAGCACAATCCCCCCCCTCTCCTCTTCCGCATAGGCCGCAAATGGGCCCGAGCCTGGCCGCGTCTATCTGGAGTGCATGGCCACGGGGTATTGCCTCTCGTACGTCGTACTCCCGTTTATGGAGCAATGCAACGGATGCACGCGTCAAGGACGGTAGATGGGATAGCTTGTCAAGCAGAGGGACAGGGTATGGAGTAATTACCGTTGCCTAACGTGTGTGTACTTCATTCTCAAAACAAACCCCCCTTTAAAGCAGGGACGAGACTTTGGCGAGGCTCATGCGGATTGACAAACGTTGATTCCTGTTGCGGATAACCCGCCACTGCCACAAATGCAGGTACAAGGTATCTATACACCCCGGCGTGTCAGCCGTTTTATTTTAATTGTTTTTATTCGCTTTTTGCTTGTGCTATTTATTCTTGTTCATTCTGCCCACGGCCATGGCGACCGGTGTATTTCCCCGTTTCGAACTCGTCTGTTCTGTCATCGCACTCCCCCCATACAAATTGCATATGTTTGACCATTGATGTCCAATTTGGCATGAAAACTTCGCAATACAATAACTGTATGCTGTCGTAGGATTTTCCTGGTTTTCCTTTCCTCCAGGTATGGTACTTTCGCAATGAATAGCCCGCAAGGCACGAACGATAGGGGAGAAATCTTCGTTTCGAGAGGCAAGAAGTGTGGTCGAGTAAATGGCAGAATGAAGCCTCTTGTGGCCTCCAAAGGCCTTGGCAAGTCGCGCCAGTATTGCCGTTTTGTCAGGCAATTTTCCAATGCGTGCCCGCGTTGCTGTGCGTGCAATCCACGCTCTCTATAGACAAGACAGAGGGACAAATAGTTTCACCTTCGCTCGATTGTCCCGGGAAGGGCAAAGACGACAAAGCGAAGAGAATAGAACAGTCAGCCGGAAACAAGAAGCTGGCCATACGACGTCTTTGCCTCTTCTTCTGTGTCTGTACCTTGATTCTTTCCATCCTTCGTGGCCTGCCATTGAGCCACAGCGGTCAGACTGGAGCAATGCCCAGCCTCCTGCTGTACGCACTTCCCCAACATGTAGCACAACTCGGCATGCTGTATAGACTTTCCTCGTCAAGCTTGTAGCTTGTGGTCCAAATGTATAGGTAGGATAATCAGCGCTTGACAATAGTCACTGCAAAATATTGTTAGCAAAGTGTTCACGGCAAAAGGAGAGTTACGACAAGCGTACCAATATCCTCGTCGCACAACTCGTGGGACAGACCAACGCGCTGCGGCTGGTGCTTGACCGACTTGCCGTACACAACGGCCGTCTTGAACTGCTCGAGTATGCTTCTGTGAATGGCGTTACACTGGAACAAACCGGTTAGCAAATGCCGCTCATCGTGGGTACAAGAGTTCTGTACATCACCAATCCCCGTTAGACCTGGCAACATACAAAATCTTCAACCGTGCACTTGTTGGCACGCAACACAACCGGCGACGAGTAGTCGGGCAGCTTGCCCTTGGGCTTCGTGTACACGCGAACCAGGCTAAGCTTCTCCCACATCGCTTCCATCAGCTCGTCAACGTTCCAGCCGTGCTCAGAGCTGATGGGCACGGCGTTGGGGATCCGGTAGAGCAGGTCTAGCTCCTCGATGGTGATGGCGTCTATCTTGTTGAGCACGTAGATGACGGGGATGTAGCTGCGGCTGCGCGCCTCGAGCACATCAATCAGGTCGTCGACGGTCGCGTCGCATCGGATGGTAATGTCGGCCGAGTTGATGCGGTATTCGCTCATGACGGCGCGGATCTCGTCGTTGTCAATGTGCGTCAGGGGCACGGTGTTGGTAATGTTGAGGCCGCCCTTGTCCTTCTTCTTGAACGTAATGTTGGGCGGCTGCTTGTTGATGCGGATGCCGAAGCCCTCGAGCTCCTGCTCGATGACGCGCTTGTCGGTGAGCGGCTTGTTGACGTCGAGCACAATGAAAATAAGATGGCACGTCTTGGCCACCGCAATGACCTGCCGACCGCGACCGCGGCCGTCTTTGGCACCCTCAATGATACCAGGCAGGTCAATCATTTGCAGCGGGGCCCCGTTGTACGTGACCTGGCCGGGCACACTCGTCAAGGTGGTGAATTCGTAGGCGGCAGCCTCGGAGTGCTGGCCGGTCAGGCGGCTCATGAGCGTACTCTTGCCGACGGAGGGGAAGCCGATGAATCCGATACTGGCGACACCCGTGCGAGCAACGTCGAATCCCGCACCACCGCCTCCACCGCCCGAGCTGGGCATCAATAGCTCACGCTTCAGCTTCGCGAGCTTGGCTTTGAGCTGGCCGAGATGGTACGAGGTGGCCTTGTTCTTCTGCGTCCGGGCCATCTCGTTCTCCACCTCCTTGATCTGTTTGCCGACAAACGGCAGGTCAGTAACATGGTCGTAGTCGGATCGGGACAGTCAGGGGTCCAGCATCTGGCCACTCCAAGGTGTGGACAACAGGACGCACCTTTTCCACGGTCGTCGACATGGTGGCGGCTTTTGTCGCGAAGAGCGCGGACTCTCTGGGCGGCTGTGTGGTTTATGGAATTGCAATAGTCGAAGGATAGACTGTCCTTGGATGTATCCGCAAGAAGAGTAAATGCAATCGAGTAGCAATCGTAGTGTCCGTGGCGAGTAGGTCGTGCGTGAGGTTCACAAGGCGAGGATCTATGATGTCGAAATTAGTTGGTAATTACGCTGCAAAAAAAAACAAAGATTTTGGCGGGGCGAGAAAATTCGTGGGGAAGTGTCCAGTGAGGGAAAGCGAGGGGGCCTTACTTTCCTGTTTTCGGGTCCCCACTCTTATTGGCCACTTATTTGCCTCTGGTAAGGCTAGGACCCATTATTTGTTGCATCGGCTCCTCCTGGCACAGATGGACGCATCTCAAATCAACCATGAACGGTTTGTAAAACACAAAAATGTTGGGTATTTATTTCAACAAAAGACAAAAAAAGCAAAGACAATCTATCCGCTGGCCAGATCCACCCCATCTGGGGACATCAACAGGCTGCCGCGCCTGCTGAACAAGCCATACACGGCACTGCTAAGCTATAAAAACATAAATTTAGTAACACAGCTGCTGAAACTTGAAGAAAGCCAGCTCGGAGGCTCCCGAGCATGACTGCCGGTTCACCTATAGTATATATATAATAAGTAACAAAGGAAAAGTGCTTGGGTCGTTTCCAGCCAAACGTCAGTTACCGGACACAGTCATGATGACAACATAACACAGGTACCAAAGTAGAAGAAATCCAACAATGCGGTTTCCCCGAGACAGAACGCCCAGACGCCGATCCCAGAGACGAAGGGAGGAAGAAAGGAAACGGGAGTACGAAAAAGAACAGTCCATACTTGGCACTTCATAGACGTGCACGTCTTTTGCAAGCCCAGGTAATGGTAGATGGGAGAAAGAAGAGAATAGTGTACACGTGCCAAGAACAAACATTGAAGATGGCAGTTGTCGCCTATGTATGTTCATCCGCCCTTGTGCCGTTGATGCCGTTGACAGTGTGCCGAGCCGGCCGGTTACCGTGCGGAGTAGTTGCGTGCGCAGAGCTCGATCCATTATTTCCGTTCAAGTGGGCCGTACCGTTCATGCGTCCGGGCGTTCCTTTTGATGATGCGAGTACTCCGTTGTGCTGGCGCGCCACAAATGCCGCATAGGCCGGGAAAATCATAGGTTCGATATTCATTGACTTGCACATTGGCGCAAATTCGGGATCGTCAACGGGCACGGCGACAAGGCCGCGTCGCGGAACGCGCACGTCTGGAGGGGGCGTGTTGAAGGTCACGACCCTTCCGGGACGATGTTGGCCCACAAGTATGCCATTGACAAAGTACTTCGTTCCAGGCGCAAATCCAAGATTCTCGTCTGCATTGGGGTCGCTCTTCCATTTGTACGTTGGCGCAAATGTCAGCAGTTGCGATTCCTTCTCTGGCAGCTCGCGGTACGCTACTGCAAGTCGGACGTCGCGAAGATGAGGAACAACAGAGACGACTTTCATGACATCGGAGACCTGTTGGGGGTCAAGTTAGCTCGTGGACATGAAAAAGCCCAATCGAGACACCAACGCAGCGAAGCAAAAAACATACCTTGACAAAGAACATGTCCATGGCCGCAAACTTCTCCCACGCCTCGCGGCGGAGTTTCTCCATGGCTTGTGTCCCAATCTCTTTCGGGTCTCGTCCGTCGTAGTAGCCCGGAAGTTGCCTTCCCAAGTCGTACAGGTCCGGGTCTGTCAAAGAGTAGCGGTCACTCTCAAGACGCCAAATAACTTGCTTCGCAATCATGCTTGCCGGTATATGCGACCACAATGAGAACTGCGACAGCGTCAGGTCCTTCTCGCCGAGGATCAAGGCAACTTGCGTGTTGACCAGCCATTGTTCGCGACCTTCAGCAGAACCCGTAGCATCCGTGTTGATACAGTCGTACCGGACACCTTGCATGGTTTTGAAGAACTGCGCTGTAGCGGGAAGTTTCGGGTTGGCGCAGAGGCTGAGCCATTGCAGGGCAGGAGGAAGTTTGGAGACTCTAACACGCTCTTCCTCTTCGAGCTGGCGACGGCGGAGTTCTTCGGCAGCCTTCTTTTCGGCGAGGATGCGTTCTTGCTCTTGGCGCTCGCGTTTTCGGCGCTCTTCTTCTTCGAGCTTCCGACGGGCTTCTTCCGCAGCTTCCTTTTCGAGTTGTTCTTGGCGTAGGCGCTCCTCTTCCTCCTCTCGTTTCCTGCGCTCTTCTTCCTCGAACTTGCGCTTCCGCTCTTCCTCCTCCTCGCGGCGCTTTTTCTCCTTCTCCTCTTCCTCTAGTCTCTTCTTCTCTTCCTCCTCCTTGCGCCGGCGTTCCTCCTCCTCGAGCTTCTTGCGTTGCTTCTGCTTCTCTTCGTCCTCTCTCTTCTTCTTGTCCTCGAGCTCCTTCTTTTTCTTCTTCTCTGCTTCTTCTTTCAGCCTCGCCTCTTCTTCGGCTTCCTCGCGCTTGCGTTTCTCCTCTTCCTTCTTTCGGTTCTCTTCTTTCTGTCTCATCTCTTCTTCTTCTTCTTGGCGACGGCGGCGCTGTGCCTCTTCCTCTTTCGTCTTTGCCTCAGCTGCCAAAGCCTGTGCTTTTGCCTCAGCCTTCTTCTTCTTGTCCTCTTCCTTCTGGCGCGTCGCTTCTGCCCCGGCGGTTGCCCCAGCGGATGCGCCGCTCGAGGACCGCCGCTCAGATGTTACATCAGCCATCTCAACGTCGACATCCTCGGACTTGACATGGATACTCTTTTCAATAGGCGACACGGATGGCCTTGCAGAGTCCTGTCGGCCGCCGTCGGAGGACGCATCCCGCTTCTTTGTCTTGGAGCCAGAAGGTGTCTTCCGGTCATCGTCGTCGCGCCGCTTTTGAGGCACTTTGGACGTGTCGTCAGGTGGGGCGCTTCCCTTGGATGGCCGTCTCTCCTTGCTCGTCCCGTTGTCGACTTCCAGCTTCCTTCTCTTAATAGGAGCTTCGTTGGTGTCCTTATCTGAGAAGCTGGCATTGGGCGGAGTCTCGCTGAGTCTGTTTCGCTTTCCAGCGCCCTCACCAACCGTGCCAAGCGCGGGTTCTTTGAGGCCCTCCTTCTTGAGTTGCCGCGCTCGGTCACGGTCACGGTCACGGTGCTTCTCAGCTCGGGCCTTGTCCTTATCAGCAACCGAATCATCAGCACGAGGATCGCGGGGACTAGACGAGTCCTTTGGTGGCGTGGGAGCTTTTGTCGACGCGAAGCTAGCACGACGCTGACTTTCACGCTCCCGTTCCTTTTCGCGCACCTTTTCGTCTTTGAGTTCTCTGCCGGAAATAAGCTTCTTCCTGCGAGGCTTGATCATCTCGCCCTCGGACGAAACCGCAATGCTGTCGAAGTCTAGCTTCTTCGATTTCGTCGACTGCTTGGACGGAGGGGGCGTGTCACGGTTAGCGTTGCTCGCACTAGGGCTTCGATCGCTGCGCTGTCTCGATTTTGCCGTCGTAGCAGTTGAGGATTTGTTGTCGCCGCGGGAACTGGCATGATCGGATAAACGCTTTTGTGAGGATTTTTCTTCGCGTGTCGATGATGCCGCCCCGCTTGTCGTAGGCGTGCTGGACTTCGTGCCAGTCGCTGCTTTCTTAGGCCGCTCTTGAGAAGGGCTGGAAAGTTTCCGCTTGTGAGCGCGTGCCGATTGTGTGTCGTCTGAAGCCTCGATGGCACGGGACGTTCTCCGAGATTCAACATCCTTGTCTTTCGTCTTGTTGCCATGGGATTTCTTGTAGTTGTCGTATGCCTTCTTGAGCATATCCTCTTCTTCTTTCCAGTTCGGTCCCTGCCTCTGCCTGGCGATCTCGTAGTATGTGTTGCCGTTGAAACGTTTTGTTGGGTCGAAGCTGCTTTGCTCGAGCAGCAGGCTAATAATCTTAATGTTTTCCTGGCCGATGGCAGCAAGAATCGGGGTCGCATGCTCAGGCGGAGCAGATGATATGGGCGCAGGGTCAGGGTTGGCTTTACCAAGAGCGAGCAACATTTGGAGGATAATATCATGTCCACCTCTCGATGCAGCAACCATTGACTCAGGGTCATCAAATGTCTCGCGAACTTGTAAAATACGGATGACATTTTCTTCGTCACCACGGCCGGCAGCCTGTCGAAGCGTTTTGTCGTCCATGGGCATGTACAACAGGTGATTGCTGGTTTTTGTTGCTCGAACGGTTCCTGCTCGACGAGACGTTGGTGCTGGTGACATCTGAGGACTATCGGGGTTGTGGGAGTTGTGGGAGCGAAGATCGTCGGTTTCGTGGCGGTGTTCTTCAGATGTGAATCGTCGTTCGCCTATCTTCTTTTTGGCCTCAATCAAAGCTGCACGAATTTCGTCGCAGTTATCGATATCTTCAGTAGCGCGGTCAAGAGGCTCCTCTCCATTGACGTTGGCTTTCCGAGGATTGACCCCGGCATCAAGTAACAGCTTGACGACGTCAAGGTGGCCATTGTCAACAGCATCCAAAAGCGGCGTATCTTTGTCGTGGTTGACGCAATCCAAATTGCAGCCTGCATCGATCAAAAACTTCACAATCTCGCCGTATCCATTAAGTGCGGCAATCTGCAAAGGTGTGTTTCCAGCGAAATCGGCAACGTTCAGGTCATAGGGACGTTCTGCCAATCGTTGCTTGACAAGCTCCAACTCACCGCGAGCACAGGCCCTGGCGAGAAAAGTTTGTCCATGGGCATCAAGATGTTTCTTGTGCGTGGAGGTTTTGGCTGGAGAGGTCGCAGAGTCCGCCGTCGCGGGGGTCGCGAGGCTGCGAAGCTTTGCGCTTCTCATGTGGGGGCTCCCACTTGCAGAGGAATCGTCCGAGTTATAGTCCGTCGACTGCAGTGGAGCAGGCACTCTCTTTTTCTTGAGACCCAGCCCGCTGGATTGGGATTGCAGTTGCGTGGAGAGGCTTCGCCGGTGTGAACGTGGTTGGGGAGAAAGAGACCTGTTTTGTGACGCGTCCCTGAGGCTTCGCGATGCCGACGCTTTGCTGCCAGAACCATTTCCATTCGCGTTGCCGTTGCTGCCAATGCTATTTCGAGACGAATCCTTTCCAGCGGCCCTGCTTGACGAGTGAGAGGTTGTGTCGCCACCCGCGCCAGCGCTTGCTAGCCGTTGACGACGAGCGTTTTGCGCTTCGGTTTCGTCATCTGATTCCACTTTGGGTGCTTTTCGCTTGTGGGGTACGAGTTTCTCGGGCGGTCTCAGTCGGTCCTTTGATGCCAGAGACGATGGGCGTCTTGGTGATTTGGCTTGCTGTCCGCGGTCAGAGTCGGAGCCCGAGTGTGGTCGTGATGACGAGTTCCGGCTCCTTGGCGGAGACGCCGGCGCTGAGCTAAGGCTGCTTGTCGCGTCTTTAGGCCGCGCAGTGCCTTGAAGTTTATCGTGCAGTCGCTTCTTCTTGCCCTCAGCAGCATCTCCCACAACCTTGTCTGCCTTATCTCGTTTTTCGATCTGGCCGTCTTTCTTCTCTGCGACCTGCCTCCGGGAAGGCGGCGCCAAGTCGGAATGTGCAGCAGAGGACGCAGGCGCACCGTTTGGCTTGCCATTGTCCTCGTGTTTGATGACCTTCCGGTTCCGTGGTTTCGACGGTGAGCCATCCTTGGACAGGACGATCGTCTCGGCTTCTGAGTTGCCATCTGTGCCACCATCGTCGTCTTGCTTGTCGCGGGACGAAGATGCAGATGCCCTTCCGTCCCGCGTCGATGTGGGGGACACGGTTCTCGCGGTCGAACCTCTGGAGCGTTCTTTGGTTGACGAGGAGGTTGTTGCAGACGTGACGTGCTTAGATGATGATTTTGGTTCTCTCGAGGATGGCGGCGCGGCCCGAGACAAAGTAGGTGATCTGTTCACTGAGGTGGCAGTAGCAGAGGTCGATTTCTGTCGCTGCGAATCGGAGACACGCGAGGCGGAGGCGGTTGAAGAAGCATTAGGCTTCGCGGAGGTGGCCTCGGAGGCATTCTGCGCATCCATGACATTTAATTTGGGAGGAGCTGTCTGGTGTACACCATCATGAGAGCGCTTCGAGCCCGCGCAGTGATCTTGAGCAACACGTGGGCAGCGATTGCAAAGATGCAACAGACAGTGGTGATAAAGGAAGGACTCGAGGGAAACTCAATCGAAAGGGAAACCACCGGGTCGCGATGGGTCGCGGTCGCGTGTCCAGAAGATAACAAGAAGGAAATGAGGATACTAGGTCCAAAACGCCAGCAGGGTTGCTCGTGTCGGTGTCGATGTCGAAGTCGAAATCTGACAATCCGAAAAGAAAAGGACAGGCGAAGGAGGAGAGGCCAAGGGGCGTGCGACCAAAACAATGCGCCCCAAAAAAGAGATGTTCGCGATCAGACTAATAATGGAGCTGAAAGGTAGGATGGAGAGTCGCGAAGGATAGGGCGCCGTGATGGCCAAAGGACAGATGGTGGAAAAGAGATTTTTGTCGTCATGCAGGATGGGGAGCGAAAGAAAGAAGAGTGAGGGAGGAGGGAAGTTTCGAGGAAGCCGCCACTCAGACCAGGAAATCCTGCCAGTTGCGAATTTGGGCTGGCGCTGTTGTTTTAGCTGGTCGTGTCTTTCTAGTAGGGCTCCCTGGTTGTCTCCTTTGCTGGTGGAGGGAAGACGGAAAAGGAGAGGGGCGATAATGGTGGCCGATCAAAGGCGGGCTGCAAGAAGGCAGGAGCAACAGTCAGATCCCACAACCGCAGCTGGACAACACCCATGCAAACCAGCTCCAGGCAATATTGGTGCCCGTATTATGCAAAAATGGGCGAAGCCTGCCCCGAATCCTTTCCCAAAATCTGCTCTTCGCTCTTTCCTTCAAAAAAACGCGAATAGTGTAAACAAGCACGAGGGAAGGAGCGATGGGGGAACATGCCAAACGAAGCTAAGCGGCGCGTATGTATCGAGACCAATGCGACGAGCGATATAGAAAAGATTGACAGTCAAGGAAGGTTCGACTGCCGAGTCTGTATTTAGTATTTACAGCACGCATTCAGAGGAGCGATGGCGGGCTCAAGACAGAACAGAGCGGATGATTCGCTGGGAGCTCAGTCCAAGTTGCATTGGTGGGCAACCTGTGTGCAGAAAGGGGCCGATACTCTACTCTCGTTTCGCGGAGCTCACTGTCGTTGTAGTGAGCATCAACGACCTTTTCACAGTTGCTGAGCACAGAGACAGCACGTTACAGGTGCCTGCGCCATGGTCGAAGAGTCTGATCGCTGGCGCCTGATTGGACTTTATGATCCAATTACGGCGGGGCGACAGACTCCCTAAACGCGTTGAACTCCTGTCTCCTGCCTCTTGCCCCCCCAAGCCGCCATCGTTTGCTGTTTACACCTTCATTTTGTCAAGAAAAGTGGGTCTAGATGGCGCGCGTGATTGGCCTAGTATCTGCTTCTGGGCTTGTGTCTGCATGGCACAGTAAAATAGCGCTAGTGACTAGCGTCCACTTGTACATGAGGGTAGATACTACTCTCCTTCCAAGGAGCACAAAGCAGAATATAATGTACAGAATACGATGTACACAGTGTATCTTTGACAATCAACGACGCATCAAACTGTACTTTCGGTACTTGGTACTCTGGGTAAGTTGAAGCGTTTTCTTTTGACTCGCTCCTTCCCAGCAGGTCGATCTCGGCTCACATCGCAAGAAATTGAAGATGCACCTCGTAAGAGGGAAGCACTCCTGTTACAAAGTTTTCACGGTTCTCATCATATTGCAGCCTCGTCCAAGGTCGCAAATTGTGGTATCTTTGTTTGGGGCCCGCCAGCACGAAATTAAAGAGCTGCGCCCCCTGCTCCTCCACTGACTAGCTACTGCGCGGCCGCGACGATCGCGCGACAGACAATTAGCACGCTATCTTTCACCTTTCCTGCGTGTTTTCCTTGCTAGAAAACACGTTTGCTACTTCACCTTGCAACCTCATCATCTTGTGCTTTTTGCAAAGGTCAAGACAAATATGAAAGGTGCATCTACACGACCACAACAAACGTTGTATTTCTTTCTTTGGGGTTGATCAGGTGTCCGTTCAGCTAATGGGCCGTTCAAAACAAGGCATTCATAGCACAATGTTGCTAACGTTCAGCTATCTCGTGACCACATAATCCATTTCTCTCTGCAATTTGTCTTGCTTTGTCGGCCATGATTCCCAGCATAACCCCGCGTCAAAGAAACACCTGACATAAACGACAAAAAATATCATTCTTACCGCTACCATGGCTGTTCCACCACCCTCTACTTCAACACAAATACCGCTTCCAGCAACACTGGACAGGGTGCAGATCCTAAGCCTACCGGCCACGGCATTCTACATTGCCGAGTTTATCACAGAAGAGGAAGAACGGCAAATTCTCCAAAGAGTGAGCAGCGGCTGGATGGGGTGCAGGGACGTCCACAGCCTTTTGCTGACCACATTATCTTTGATGCTTCACAGGTCGAAGCTGCGCCGAAACCGAAGTGGAAACAACTTTCCCACCGCCGTCTGCAAACATGGCCGTCCGATCTCCTTCACGATAAGCTTCTCGATGCACCGCTCCCGCCGTGGCTCGTGGACCCTGTCGTCACGCGGCTCCTCACCATTCCTGTGCGAGCCAACAGGAATGGCGACGATGGCGAGAATGACGACCGTGACAACATATTCGCCAATAGCCCACACAAGCGTCCAAACCATGTCCTAATCAACGAATATCCGCCTGGCGTGGGAATCATGCCGCACAAGGTGGGTTGAATGCAGATTCTTGGGAAATGGGAATGTAGTCCAGTTCGTATACATGAGCTCAAAGTCAACTCTGCTGTGTCTCTAGGACGGCTCGGCATACCACCCAGTAGTCTGCACCGTAAGTTTGGGTGCCAGTCTCTGTCTGAATATCTACAAGAACAATGAGGACGGTACTCTGCAAACCGAACCGGTGGCGCGGATTCTCCAAGAACCGCGCAGTCTTCTAATCACCACCGACAATCTCTACACCGATTACCTGCACGGCATCGCCGACATTGACAAGGACGTCGACCTATCGGAAGCCACCGTCGCGAACTGGGACCTCTTACAATCCAAAGAACTGTTTGCCTCTGGGCAGAGCACACGCGAAACTCGCGTCAGCTTGACATACCGTGACGTATTGAAAGTATCGAAGCTGGGTAACAAGTTTGGGATGTTCAAGCGGCCGTGATTCGGCAAGGAACTGACATGCGGCGTCGGGCACTCAACACGTGCAACGCCGATGCCGGCATGTCAAAAGATAAATGGGATCATCCTCCATTTCTTGGCCACCCGTTCTGCGCCGAACTTTTCGCTATACCACCGTTTGGTACGGTCTGCCGTCACTCCGAGGCCTGCAAGAACGAACAACAGAGACGACAACAAAGTGCGATTCAGAAGCCTTCCGTCCGGCGCGGTCACGATGGACAAGGCGACATACAGGAAGAACTCGCAAGTGTAGTGCGGACTGACGAAGTAGCGGAAAAGACCCTCGTCGGGCAGGGAGTACTTCTTGAGGCTGGCAAGGTGAACGTGGCAACGGTATTGGCCCACCCATGCGAGGAGGAAAAGAGGCGTGCCGACAAGAATCTTCGCCAAGGCCTCGGCGTTGATGGCATACGTAGATCCCGTGGAAGCATCGTGATGCTTCGTAGCCAAGATTGCCTCTGCCGGTTCAATCAATATAGTTAGCGAATCGCCAAAAAGAGAGCAAAAAACAGAGGAAACTAATGACGACGATATAGACAAGGAGACATACGTGAGCCCTCGACCCATATGGCGACACTCATGACTGCATAGTACGCGAAACCCAGGATAAAATGCGCGGCGTTCATCTTGGCCTTGGATGGCTTGAAGACGTAGAGATATTCATAGAGCCGGCGGCCTGTCTGAAGTGCTTCGAGCACAAATGCAACGCCCATCTGGGCAAGGACCATGGACGCGACCGGCGTCGATGACCATACCAGATCGGATGTTTGCTGGCTCGCCAGAATGCGTCCAAACAGGTTGTCTGGCGACTTGGGCTCAACCGTCCCCGCTTGGCTCCACGACCACCACTGGGCAGCCCAATACGATGTGCACAGGAGGTAAAAAGCATAAAAGCTGATGAACCACGAGTGCGGCACCTGCAGCCGGGACACGACGCCAGCCACTGTCCGTTCCAAGAGGCCTGGCGCTGGGGTAGATGCAGGCCTGCCGTCCTTGTTGTTTTTGTCCGCCGCATTGGCATCGGCGGTAGAGTTCTTGCTGTCCCGCGCACCGTAGTCAAGCAGGAGCTTCTGCGTGGCCGCCGGGAGCAAAGTCAGTGCCACGATGGCGGCGCCGAGTCCGACAAACGATGCCTGGCAGAGGTTGGCCGGAGACATTGAAAGGGAGGCAGAGCCAATCGGGGCGAGACCGCCTGGGATGACACGGAAGCCACCCAGAGTCATTGTTCCGCGGTCTACTGTGTCACGAAAGTGGCGATACTGAGTCCGGAATGCGCTGCCGGCGTTCGGCCGATTGTTCAAAGCATATGCCGTTGACAAGTCGGTTGCGCCGGGAAAGTAAACTGTGCAGTGCATCCCAAAGAGCCATATGCGAGGCGGCCAAGAGTTCCTTCCAAAATGCCCCATACCCTGCACGTGACCACTTTTTCTTTTGTTCTTCACAGAAGAAAACAAGAGGACATTTTGAGAGATTCAAAAAATCGCAGGTAAAAAAGGTCTTTTGAAACAGTTTTGTATGACCATAGCTATGTTTTCTCTACGGTTTGCTTGATTAAAGGGTTACTTGGAGAGCAAGCGCGCCGAGTCTGTGAGTAGAACAATCCAGCCACGGGCAAGCCACAGAAACTTTGAGCACCACACTGTTGGAGCACCACACTGTTGGTCCCTTCTACATTTCTATTTAAAGAAGTTTGGAAGAAGATACAGCAAATATTGAAGCCAAAAGAGCTATCTCGACTGTCTTGTGTTAGGTTATCACCTTCTCTCTCCCATCGTCCCCTCGTTCAGTTTGCCGATCGGTTATTTCAACCGGTCGGCTGCCCGAACTCCCGGCCTTTTACGCCAGGACTCGCTATATTTCGAATACCCCACGCTAGGAAGGCTTACGATGCAAAGGCGGGCATTTTGGGGGCATATTCAAAGCCCCTCCTCATTCCTTTGGAGCACGTCTTTTATTTTACTTTCACTGTTTCAGGAGCGCTCTCGTCTTCTTCTGCTGTCATCTTTCACCAGCTTTGAACTCATTCCTTAACAGTCTCTGCCGTCCCACCGTTCCTCACCATGGCCGCTCCGTATCCTCAGATCGTCCTCTTCGGCGACTCTCTTCTCCAGGGCGCAACCGACACTAACGATGGCTTCTCTCTCCAATCCGCTCTCGAGGCTCACGGCATCCGCCGCTACGATGTCGTCAACCGCGGACTCTCTGGATACAACACCTCCCAAGCACTCCGGCTGCTTCCCAGCGTCTTCCCTCTGCCACCATCTGAGCCTTCGCCGTACACGCCCAAGATCGCTTACCTTGTCGTGCTACTCGGCGCCAACGATGCTGCCCTGAAGGCGGACAAGGACAACCAGCACGTCGACCTGGCCGAGTACGAGGCGAACCTCAAGGCCATCCTCACGCATCCCAACATCCAAGCCCACAAGCCCGGCAAAATCTTGGTAGTGACGCCTCCGCCGGTCGACGGCATCCGGCTGCACGAGTTCGAGCGTATCAACTACAATCAGACAAGAACTTCAAGGCAGGCACTCGTCTCCGCAAAATACTCGGAAGCGGCACGCCGTGTAGCCCAGTCTGTGCCTAACACCGCTATCGTGGACCTGAACAAGGCACTAATGGACCTCGCCATTGCGCGCACGGCGGGCTTCGACCCTAAGGGCAGCGTTGTGCTCGGCGACGAGGCTGGCGGCCAGCGCGGCTACCTGGCAAACCTACTGTCGGACGGACTGCACCTCTCCGGTGAGGGATACCGGGTCTTCTTTGAGGCGCTTCGGCCACACATCGATCCTCCCAACCCGCGTGAAACCGTGGAGGGCTGGATATACCCCGAATGGCGGCAGGCTCCCTGGTTGGAGAAGTAGATGGAAATTAGAGCGGATAAGACAACATTCAAGGGCTTCAAAGGACTCTTTGAAATGGTAAGATACGGTCTTGCGATCTTGCAACCTACAAAGTATTGCGCGTGGATAGACTAGTGTTAATGTAGACCTTAGAATCGCCAAATGCTTACAAGTACACTGCAAGAAGTGTTTCCCCCTGAATCGAGAGACATGCCCTTTGATGGCCGGTAATACGGGCAGAAGACTCTTTCCACTTTGGGCGAGCCTGAGACAGCTCTTAGCTTACGCCCACTTACACTTACACTTTATCGCAGCCAATTATTACCTGGCAACGCGCCTAACAAATCACGCTTTCCACAAACAGAAGGCGCTTGTAACACGCGGTCGTTTAGTGGTGGCCCGTATATGCGCTGTAGGTCGTAGTTGCCTTGTGAATATGACTACTCCGTACATTCGCCGCCCAGGTATTTTGCTAAGAAAATCACTGAAACCTGAAAAAGTTCCGCCTTCGCAACGTCGACGGTATCATCTCCAAACACAAATCATTCCTCCCATCGCCTCTCCCTTTCGCTCTCGATCACGACGCCGTCTTTTCGACATTCATTCCGGTGCACCCAACTCACCAGTTTGTCCTCACACCTACAAGACAAAACGACTCCCCTCCTTTCGATATCAACCTTACTCGCTCCTGCCTCTCCCCCCTTTTTGCCTCGTCGCTCTTTCCCGATTCGCGAACTCTCAAACAAAACGCCCTTCCGTCCTCAGTCTTGTCTAGGCCTCGACAGCTCCTTCCCCATCCTTCCAGCCGGCAGACCAGCACCAACGCCCTTGCTTCGAATAACCGTTAAAGCAGGTCCTCGCCCTCTTTCGGCTTTGCAGCGTCCCACGTCGCCCCTGCCATCGTCTGAAGATTCCAAGTCCGATATCTCTCACATCCCATTCTCTTTGCAATAACAACAAAGAAACTTGGACAAACAAACACTATCCATACGACTTTCTCGTCTTCGACCATCAAGGCCGTTCGTTTTGGAATCCACACCAATCAGCAAGTCAACTTAGCAACCACTCTATCCTACCTCTATCGGATCTTCGTTCCTAAAGAAATTAAAGGCCTTCGGCGTCGATAACGAGCTCTGCTGTTGCGAGACTCTTCATTCAAACTACATACTGTACCCCAGGGAATGTGAAATCCGAAAGCAAAGTACGACATCCACAACATCGCGATTCCCATTTAGGTACAGCGCTGCGAAGGCCTCCTCGGTCTGCGATCACGAACGCCTGCTTTCCTCGACAGCGTCCGTGCAAATTGACAACACCATAGCCCGGCACATATCACAGCTTGATCAGATATTTCCCAATTCAATAAGCTACAACGACACGCCCGTCGCGCGTGTGGGCAGCAGAGAAGGAGCGAGCGACGTTCTCCGGGCTGATTTGCGGCGTGTTTGTGGTGTAGAAGAGCTCATTGCGTCGTCAGCACATATCTTGACACGAAGAAACACATCAGCTCGAATTCGAAAGTCCAAGACGACAACGAATTGACGGTAACAAAGCGTAAAGGACAGACGAACGAAACCTTGTGCGACAAACAACAAAAACGACAACCAAGCTCCGCGCAGGATATCGAACAGCCCCTGCTAAACGCGTCAGGCCACACACCAGCAGCTCAAGCGGCCAAAGCGCTCTGCCTTGCTCTCGTCGATTTTGACTTTGAGCAAAGACCGTCGGTCGCCTATCCGTTATTTACGGCGGCTTTCTCTCTCCCACCGACGGCTACTGCATCCCTCATACACGGCCACTGAGGGCATGGATACTCACTTTTTCGTGAGTCGTGAAGAGTTCCACAATGTCCAGATGGACGTTAGGCAACTGCAAGCCGTCCAATCGACCCAGATTGAACGGATACAACGCCTAGAAAAGCGTCACCAGGACGATGCGGCAATGCGGTCGGCTTGGTCGAACTCCCCGTTCCCAAGCGCGTTGGTGGGAACACCGCAGCACGGTACGTCTTTATATATGTTCATATACTTAGCCATTATCCCCGCACCCTTTTCTCTAACAACTGTTCTTCTTAGGACCTATTCGGATACCATCCACAGAGAATTTTGACCTCGATGAGCAGAGTCAAACACTAGGTTCTTTACACCTCGAGCCTGATGATGAACCGATCCGGAGAGCAGCCGCCGCCTCACGGGCCAATAGTGTCCGCTTTGATGAAAGCGCCAACTTGACCCAAAGCGGCAGAAGCCTCAATGACATCGGCCCCTTCCGACCCGGGAGCAGCCTAATGATGGAACGGTCACTTTCACACAAGTCAGATGGCAGACACAGCTCCGCCGGCCATTCTGTGCACTCTGTACATTCTGCGGCCTCCGGGCGGGGAAGTAGTATCGCGCTCGACACCAACTACATGTCTGGTGGCCACGAAGACGACTCGCCCATTGACGTGCCTGAGCCGCCACCGGTATTCTTTGTGTTGGGTTCTGTGCCGGCCATTATCCGGTGCTGGCTCACAAAGGATTTTGCCAACAACACTCTAATATATGCAGCAGTCTGCACTGGCGCCCAAAAGTCGACCATCGACTTCTCCCTCGTCAAGGAGCTTGGCTTAGATGACCTCGTCTATCGCGAGGTCGACAACTCTTTCAAGATCCATCTGCAGACATACCTTGCAGAGGCCATTCCCGCAACGAAATCGACAGTCCCCGTTCCGCAAATCCCCTTCCTGGCAATCAACTTTGAGGTTGTCGGGGCGGAACATATTGCTGATAGTGAAAATGACAATGGTATCCGTATCTTCATCGGCAGTGATGCCCTCCGGGCTCACAGTGCGGACATCCTGTTTTCGCGGAACCTCCTATCCGTGTACAGCAGTGAGCGAGAGAAGCTGACGGTCCCCTTTGTTCGGCCTGAAAACGACGCTCTGTTTAAGAACCTATGCACGGTCAGCGCCGTTCCAGGTCGGCTCAGACTTAATGCTGCTGCTGCAGAATTCGTTTCCAGCGATGCCAAGTCCCGTGACAGCATCAACGGCGCTGACGACGAGCACAACCGCATGGACGAATACGACGACGATGAGTTGGACAGCTTACCTGAGGATGAGTCACGGCACTTCCATGGCCAGCAGGATGACAATGCCGACCAGGAAGGGCCACATCTCCGCCGTGGACCGCCTGGCCTTCAGAATCTTTCGGGTACTGCTGGCAACTCCAGTATCCTAACCCCTGGTGCGATCTCTCCAACGTCGGCTCATCCCATCCCGCCTGCGAAGTGGCACGAGGGAGCCTCTGGTGCTGCTTCTGAGAATGGGGCCGAGGGTGAAAAACTACCTCGAAATTCTACGAGCTCAGACTACTCGGGGAAAGATGCGGGTCCCAATGCGGATGGCGGTCGCCGCGATGCGAGCGCCATCTGGGGCTCGTGGCGTCAAGGTGGTTCCACTACAGGTAGCGACGGTGGGCACCGAGAGAATGGTCCTTTGAGTGGGTACCAGCCGGCTGGACGCTCCCGAACAATGAAAGTTCTCAAACCAAAGGTTGGCAACGGTTCAACATCTGCTCGAACCGGATCTTCGTATGAGCCTCCGCCGCCCCCTCGCTCGAGCGGCGAGCATCGCCGAAAGACCCAAGGACCTTCTGGCACGGCCGTCTCTGCAAATGAGGGCGGCAGCGCAAGTGGCGGGGGCAACAATGCAGCAGGTGTGGGAAGCGGTGGCGGCATCACGACGGGAGGCAACGCGACGCCCTCAAATGTGATTCGGTGGGAATCCAAGCGCAGCATCAGCAGTAGCAATGCGGCCGCGCACAACGCTGGGCATGGGAAAGAGAACAAGGCCCAGCAAGGCCTTGCCGCGCTGGAGCTCCGGAACAACACCTCTTCGGCGCCTCGGACGTCCAACCCTGTTGGCGGCGCCTCTGCATTTGCATGGATGAAATCATCCAGGCCGCAACCTTCGTCAGCCGAATGAGCCAAACCGGGGGCACGAGTTTGACGATCCCGCGCTTTCTTTGTGCCGAAATTCCGAACATTCATTGCCACTTAATTAGTTACCAGAAGCCGGCACCTTTCGCTCGCTTGGCGTTTATTTTGTTTTGGACTTCCTCAACCCGGCCCCCCTGAACAGGATTTATGCAGACTGCCGGGATATCCTTACAGGGCTACTGGAGGACGATTTGGGGACGTGGCTTATGGCAGCGGGAAAATATGTATGTCTTAGAGTGTATGGATTAGGTCCCAGGCAAGGTGTGACTGCAGGCCAATATTCCAAATGGCTCCAGGTGCGTGAGTAGGCTGCGGATGCCAAACAAAAAGTAAAATACCGATTCAGTGACATTGAATTCGAAGCCAAAAACACCATAAAAATACAATTATTATATAAAAAAGTAACGTGGAGGAAACCGTCGTAAATACAATTAATCAGCATTGGATTAATTTTTAAAAAATAACAATAAAAGTATATGTACAACATGCTCAGTAAGTCTTCACAAAGACGTGTTACCAAACAACCACACCAAGCTCCATCTAGATCTTGGCCGACAGCAACGATGACAAAGCTGTCTTGGTGTCGGCGCTCGTGTCCTTGACAAGGCTGACGATGTTGCGGAACGCCGGGATGCCCGCGTCGCCCATAGTCTCATACATCCAGCTCTCGGATGTGGTCACCGTCGCACCCGCCGTCCGCAGCCGCGCCAGCGCAATCGGCACCTCTTCACGGTTGCACGACGACACACCATCCGCGAGCACGAATACGCGATAGCCCGCGGCCAAGAGGTCCAGAGCGGTCTGCGTGACGCAGATATGGGACTCGATGCCGACGATGACGACGGACGACAAAGAGGACGCAGGGCCGGACGCAAAGGCGGCCTTGACTTCGGGTGTCCACATACTAAAGAGCGTCTTGTCGGCATCGACGAGTAGCTTGGCCTTTGTGGCGTCGGCCGCGTCCGTCGATGTGGAGTACAAGGACGACAGCTCGGGGACAGTGTCGCCAAGCCGGGCACGGTTCTGGGTGGTCACGACGACCGGGATGTCGAGGATGGCGGCGGCACGGAGCACCTTACGGGAGGTGAGGACTCTTGCAGGGAGTTAGGGGAGTTAAAATAAACCACCGACAGATGCCGAGGAGCACAGGAGCCCTTGGATTATGGAGGGGGGGGACGGGACATACACTTTGTCAAACTCGTGAATGGCATTGCGGAACTTCTCCTGGATGTCACAGACAAAGACAGCCGAGTTGGGCACACGGAGGGTCGCGGCAGAAGCCATGGTGGTGGGTGTACTGCTGTGGAAGCGGAAGGTCGGACGAGGGAGAGGCGGCCGGAACGGTGTGCGGCTATAAGTCGGAGTGGAGAGAAACGGAAGGCGGGATATGACAGGGCCGGTGGCTACAGCGACTCGTTTGGGAAGGGCAAGAGAGAGCGGCGACAGGGACATGAAAAGTATAGTAAAGAAACTGAAAGGCTACGATGACAGGAGTCAAGTTGTGCGGTCGCCGATTTCCATATGTCCGGCTAATAATACGTCGTCGGCCGCTGTCAATTGACGGCTTCCGTACTGCGGGGAGGCCAGCTAGCAAGCTGTGTGGGGTAGCCTAGGCACAAGGGCTGCTTCTGCGTCACACATACCTCTATGACCCAAAGCTTCGGCAATAGCCCCCTCTAAGGCTCCCGGAGCTCTTCAGTTCCGATTGTGTGAGCTTGGGTGGTCGGTTGTATTTTCTTCTTTCGGCAATCTTTCCTCTTGCGAGTGTTATAATATTGTATTTGTTTTCAATGATTTTCTGGCACACGCGTGTATTTTTTGTGTTATTTTGTCAAGCATCGATGTTGAATGGGAAATAAATCAAGCTGGTATACACAATATTATTATATTAAAATAAATATTACCCTTACAACACGATCCTGACAGAACGAGCCCAGGGTCCTTAACCAGAACTATGTTTATATGATTATGTTGCACCGAGAAATTGCCACAAGTATGTGGTCGCCGCCGGACTTCGCAAAGTGCACATTATACGAATGCTCTCGACCCCAACTCACTGCCGTTAAGAATGTTGGGGTGTGGCCGTAACTCATCTAATCGGGCATGCCGGCCGCCTTGTGTTCCTGAACACTGTAGCCTTGTGCATGATGATACAGCAACATGTAAGCTGAGATGTAATACTGGTCATGGGTATTCGTGTGTGTCGCACCCTGCGCGTCACGGTCGAACACAGGCAAGGACACGCTTCCGAGCAAATTTGAGCGCTCCGATCAATAGCGCTCCGATCAATGGCAACACAAGGAGGGCAACCAAAGCTGACAATGGCCACGGTCCGCAGAGAGCACCAGATATTGTATTCTTTTGCATAATTTTTTTATATTTTTGAAAAATAGGCTTTGTGCATGTATGCAGGGTTTATGAAGAATCAAAACATGATGCACGAATATTTCTACACTAAATGTCCTTTATGTTCTGCTTCTGCTCTCTCCCAACTCAGTGTATGGAATACCTGGTAAAAGAAAGATAGTAGGCTGAAATAAAAGTAACAGGGGACATAGATAAAGAGGGGGGGGGAGGACGGAAAAGTAGGAGGGTGGGTGTGTGAGGGTTGGACGAGAGGCTAAAGGATCATGGAGACGTCGTCTTCTATTTCAGGGCCGCCTGGATCGACTCGAGGACCTCAACCTCGATCTTGGCCTCGGCAATGTCCTGCTCGCTACCGGAGCCGTTGGCAATCTTCTGGGCCTCGGCCAGCTGCGATTTGACAGCCTCCGCGCTGAAGTCCTCAATGGGGTAGCCCTCGACGGCGTTGATGCTCAGGACGGAGTTGGGCTGGACGATGGCGAAGCCGCCGGACACTGTGGAGGGGAAAGAAGGTTAGCTGGGTCGAATTTTTGTATTGTGGCGACCGGTTCGACAGCCCGTAGCCGGTAGCCGGCCGGCGCCAGCCGAACTCGGTCACAACCTCCAGAGGGCAGACTCACGGAAGAACTGCTTGTTGCCACCGCTCTCCTCAACGACCTCGATCAAGCCAGGCTTCAGCTGCTCAATCGACGGAACGTGGTTGGCCAGGACACCCATCTCACCGGATTCGGCGGGGATGTTGACCTGCACGACGTCCTGCGACTTGTAGATGGTCTATTTGCATGTTAGCATGGCGTCCGCAGCCGCTCTGGTCGGAATGATCGGTTCGTGGCTGTGTGGTAGGCTTGGGTGTCCGGTCTGAATCAATTGGGTATACGGGGAGCAACGCAGATGTTCGTATTGGGGATGTGACGTGGTCCATCTCGTTCGTGTTGGTCATTGAGCGGTTTAAATGCGTACCTGGTGAGGCAAAGACAAGCTCAGCTTGATCTACTTGGCGACAGCACGGTTAGCACAATACGGTTCACTCAAGCTTCCCCGTGAAGCAGTGGTAATGTTCGAAGCATCGACGGCGGAGGGACTTGCCTTGTCGGGGACAGCATCGGCATAGGTTCTCCGCTGGAAAGCGACCCGCGGGACCATGGTTGGGCGCGCACGCAGCGCAGCACGGGCAATGCGCATCGAGTTCATTGTGACGGGATGGCGAGAAAACGAAGGGTTCGGCGATGGCGAGTGGTGAGAGAGAGAGAGAGAAACCGGTCAATTGGGGTTTCTGGGAGGCGGCGTGGTTGCGTGTCGGTTACAGCTTTCGGAGAACGGGAGCAAAATACATCGCCAAAAATGAAAATAGATTCCGATTTTGCTTCGAGCCCCCCAAGGGGCCGGATCCACCGTCTACCCGCACCCTGCTTAGCCGGCAATAGGGTCACATGATACTTCCACCTGACATGTCACACAATAAATCACGTGGCATTTTTCCAAAAAATAAAAAAAACCAAAATGGCTTAAACAAATATCACAATATCGAAGCGTGGGAAATGTGGTTAGGTGCATGTGGAGTCCGTTACGTTCCGAGACAGGGGCGAAAACTGCCCGGCAAACCAGCCTCGCAACGCGAGGAACATGACCTCATCATGACAATCAACCCGCCAGTGTCTCTGCGCCTCACTCCGTTTTCGGGCGACCTAGCATCATGGAATCAGGAGGAAAAAGGAAGTTTCTTGTCGGGCGCATGACAAAGACAAGATGAGAAACCGAGTTTTCTAGATGTTTGTTTCGGTTGCTCAGTGTTGCGCAAACGCAAACGGAGCATTCGGAATGGAATCTCTTAGGCACAGTCGAATTGTCACTGGTTGTCACTGTTTGTCACTCCGGCAAATTGTATCGGGCGAGCTGCGTCAGCTTCTCAATGCACTCGAGGTACTCAGGCATACTTCCCTACTGGGCGAATGGCCCGACAAAGTGTAGGATACGCTGATTTGTTCGACACCCTTTTTCCTGCTCTTACTCGTATGTTCATGCCAGCTGGGTGGCGTGCTTTTTTCGAACTCTGTTATGGTATGCCAACAGTCGTATTATTGATCACTAGACCCATTGTTCGACATCTTTTTACACCACCCTGCTGGCAGGCCCTTCTGGCGGCCCACGACGACGACCATCTTGGGCGCCTACCGAAAATCCCTCAAAGACAACCACAGTTGTGGAGCAAAAGAGAACAGAGGTTTTCAACGAGGCTAAACTTGTCAAAGGGGGTTTGGTAGGGGCTTGAAACCCACTACAAATTGCTAATCAACTAGTAAAGGGGAAAGCATGCGTGCTACCGCGTAGCTCGGACTCTATAAAATTGAAAACAAAAAACATAAAAGAACTACGTTGGTGAGAAGAAGTGAATAGGGAGATACAATGGTCGCGTGCATCTATCTTGTAGGAGCTTTCCTTTTCTTCCCTGTCCCTCGCTTCCTATCACGACAATAGCAGCCCCCGGTCCCAAAGCTGCCATTTTGCTATGGGTTTCTTGTTCCGTTGGCCATGTGATCACGGGAGGACAACAGAAGCCCAAGATCCTACGAAAGCATGCCATTGTTCTACGTGAACGGCTTGTCACAGCCACCGTACAATTCGTTGTCTGCCTTTCAGAAAGACGCAATACACTCTTCCATGCTCGCTTCGTCCGTTTGTTTTATTATTTATAATTTATTCTCTGTGCTCGTGGGAGGAAGCCCATACCGCCAAATTTGGAGACATATTTTTGGTCATCATGGACCATCCTTCTTTGTCTCGTGCCCACTTTCTCCCTTTCGCCATTCGCTTGTCGTGATGCTTTCGTCCTGCAACGGAAAATTAGTCCGTGTATTCAGTATCCTTCTGTTCGTATCCCATGCCAAGTGGGCCAAGCTTTTGCAGAACCAGCTTAGGCTCGGGACCATGAAATGCTTGTGGAAACATGCCGCACTCCGTATAGAAGGAAAAGAATCACTCGCTTAGTGCCCGTTCTCACCATTGAAACGGACGACTTGCAAAAACGGTGCACTAAGTTTTAGTGCATGCTCACCGCTGTTGAGGCAAAACGGAACAGACAAGTAACCGCTCATTGCCGTTCGTTCCTTCTCTTACGTGGTGTGGCTCGCCTTTGGAGTGTTTCGATTTCACATTCCAATTTAGGAAACAACAACATGAAAACACACCCCCAGTCGCTGAGCTTGCCTTGTGGTTGCACACTGTTCACACAACGGCCCTTGAAATCTTACGGTTGTAGGGAAGGATGGAAGGTAGACGGACGAAACTTGGGAATCCTTCTTCTTTTTATTGTCTGGGTGCGTTTATGATCATAGGGTCGCCCGTCATGTTGGTGGGCAGCTGTGGTTTCTGGGGAAAAGGGAAAGTGCATACGACTTTGCACCTACCCTTTGTACTGTACCCATTTCTCCCTCCTTTCATCCAAACGCGGCATGAGCGACAAAGTCCAAATGAGGAAGCCGGGCACGAAATAGGAAAACAGCTGTTTGCATTTTGCTTCGCTTTGGCAACTGCGGGGTTGCAATATCGACGACGCGATAGTTTCACGGAGCGGGCTTTGATGAGAGAAAGAGGGGAAAGCAAAGGGAAGCGACAAGAAACAAGGAAATGAGGGTGCTTGTGTGTCGTGGGGGTCACCGTCCAGTTCGGCACAAAGCCAGACAAGACGACTGCAACTGCAACCTTTGTTGTTGATGCTGGTTGCCCACTGCGCGTTGAAACGACGGCATAATTCATCCATCTCACAACGTGGAAATGGTATGGACGGCAAGACGCGTGCCGAGCATTTTACAAATTACGTTGGACCGTAAATAAAGTGACGATGCATTCATGCGGGCCAGTAGCCTCAATGCTTGGCATAAGTGCAGTTTGTTTGCTGTCCCCTCTTCCTAGCTCATGTGTGCTGCACCTCGGTCCCTTTCATGTCACGCAACATTGAAAGATTCAATGTGTCTGAGAAATAGAAGACAATGGCGGGGAAAACATGTTGGCATGATGCAACCGTGAGGGTCACATTGCCCTCTGTCGGATCTCAGTTGCTCCAACCCAGATAATGGGCGGTCCTGTTTCGGCCGTTCTTTCTTTTCGTATAATTGAGCAACTACGGCCGTGCCAGGAATTGCGGTGAACACATTTTGAAAAGCTCCCTCCCATTTTCATTTCGACGTTTCCACACTACCCCAACGTCACACCTTTCCCCTTTTGTAGATCGACACTATAAAAGCGACGATACAAACAGGGTCTACACCACCTAACTTTGGATTATCTGTTGATTGTCAAGGAAGAGGTATCTCCATGCTCGTCGATCTTGTGCTGCGTCGACCCAGCCTTTCCCGACTGGCTTGTGCTGGGCCCGGGCTTCACAAAAAGGCCGTTTTAATACCGGTGGACTCAAATCACAATATCAAAAGACAACACACTCGTCCGCAATGAGGACGGACGCTACGCATGTAGGTGCTTGTCAACGTGCAGTAGATCCGCATGGCTACGGACTACAGAGGAACAGGTGGACAAAATCGAAGAGGCCATAGCAAGCATGAGCCACCCAATGAGAGCAAGACGACCAAGATGGGCGCAAGTTCAACCTTGCAAGCGGAAAAGTAACAAGTCACGTAGTATGAAATGGCAGCTGTTTTGTCGCTCCCGTCCAAATCCGAAAAGAGGAGTTGAATATTCCAGACGAGACGCAAGAAGCGCAATTCGATGCAGGATCTCTCATGTGCCTTTTGTGTCATATCCTGGCTTAAAAGCTTGATCGTCTATTTTACGGGTTACCTACCTGGTTCTTTCTGCAAGCTAAGGGAGCTACACCGTTATGTTTTGCGCGCAAGGCAATGGGGCACGAAAGGGAATTCGTATATCCCCAGTGCCATGACATTGAGTATCAACGAGACAGGAAGATGGCGCCAGAAAGAGCGCAGGCGAGAGTGGCAGCAGCGTGACGTCGTTTTTTGTGAGACGGTCAAATAAAGTAACAAACCAACAGGGCGCTTTTACCGTCGTTGAATACGAATGGTGCTGAGTGCGTAGTCAGATTCACTGATATCATGTTTGAATACGATATCCTGAATTCGGAACGGCAAGTTGTATGGTGCCCGTCGAAACTGGTGACAATCGCGAAACGGAAAACGGAATCAAGATTATTTCGCATTCCATTCCGGCTACATCCACCTCTTCTTAGGCTCCAGGTTTGTTCTTCTACTTGTCTTTTGTTTTCCCTGCTCGCGAATGGGACATGCATGTCGAAATGAATTAAAAAAGATGCGTCTTTTGTCCTTTCATTTTGGGAAATTGTTTTGTTTCTTTGTTCGGCTGTTTCGTTTCAGGCTGTCGTCTTTCTGGCAAACAGGGTTTTTTTTTAGCTGGCACACGCTACGGGGCATTTTTGTCTCCCGTAATTTTAACGGACAGGGCACACTTGAATACCGAGCACCGCGGCACAAAGAGTGAGGTAGGGAGAAGTCAGGCAGGGAACAGGTTCGAAAATAAAATCTAAAATAAAACCAAAACCGAAACCAAAATCAGGGCAAGATACAGAACAATGCCAAGCGCAGTTCGCAATTATGTCTAATGGGCGGTTCGAAATTGGTGTAAGATTTGTATCGTGCGGCTGGTTTTCTTGTTTGACGGCGGGTTGTGATTGTCGGCTATTGCGCCTCGTCTCACTTCTCAATCTACAGGGCCAAGCCCGCTAAGAATTGCTGCACAATTGCGGCACTGCTTAGTTATTACGGTGCAATACGGGCTGCGAAGCAGACCTATTGTTTAGGGCCCAAGCGGGGGACCACAAGCTAATGCACGATGCCAACTAAGATACGGTATTGTGCTACATGCTTTGGTGATAGACTGCGCTGCGTGTTCGGTCCAATACCCAAAAGCCTCTAAGCGGTCTAAGGCTCGGCAGGGGGACGGGCAGGCGCGGTCTCTGAGTCCGCAGGGGCATGCCGATCCCTCGGCTCTCATATCGTCTGTGTATTTTTGTGGTTGCTTTTGGACTTCGGAGAAGTATGTGCCAAGTTCGAATATCCACGCTACGGAACGAGTCACTGCTTTTTACGCACACTGGAAAATTGTTATGGGGTCTTGTGTTGTTATGCCATGTTTACGAGAAACGCGTCTTCCTCGTTGAAATAAATCCCGACAAAACAACACTGTTCGCTGAAATGACAGACCCA